TGAATAGATTTAATATCCATAATATACCTTGATAATGTACAGCAACACTAATGTACATGCATAGTACGTTTTGATGGTGATCATATTTTGACGCACATAGCACGTTTACATACATATATACATTTTGACATACATAGCACGTTTTGATGGTGAAAAAGTGTTTTACAGTCGTTTAACGTTGATAAATCAACGTTAAACACTATCATTTTAAACGTTGTATCAACGTAAATTCAACGTTGTTGTAACGTTTTTTCGCGTCGATTCAACGTTGATATAACGTTTGAACCTAACGTTGATTTAACGTTGATAAATCAACGTTGAAAAAAATTTTCATTCTAAACGTTAAACCAACGTTAATTCAACGTTAGGTTTCAACGATATTTCAACGTTATTTCAACGTTATTTGCCGGCTGGGAGTATTTGTATAAAATTAGCCTTATCATAATGATTAATAAAGAGTTGTATGATTGGTATTTATGCTTGAATGATAAATCTACAAAAATGGTGTGCTCGAATTTCAGAAGCCAATTCTCAATTTTGAATTTGAGCTTGTACAACAAAATTAAAATTGTAATAGATAAATTTAAATCGTTAAAAAAAAACAATAAAAGAAGAGATGTGTATAAGCTGATGCTCTTTGTACCGCCTATTTTGGAAATTAATTGTGAATTCAGCATATAAAATGAGAAAAATAAATTGAAGGGTAAAAAAAGAAAATTGAACCAACAAACGTCGAAAAACTGTTTTAAAAAATTAAAACTTGCTGTATCTGATTGTCAAAATAAGTTCAAATCTGCTAAAGTTCGTATTAGTAATATGAAAAAACAATTACATCTAACAATGTAATTGCTTTTTTAACTCAATATTCATAAAGACATTTTGTATGATAAATTATTTAAAGAGACTAATAACACTGATTTAAATATTTTAACACAGCAGACATTAGAAGTGATTTGCCATTCTTTGTTAATTGTTCTGGAAAGACAATCTAGTGATCAACTTCCTGGAAGTAAATATTGGCATCCTTTTGATAATATTAGTAAGGCTGCAGAGAATGTTCCAACAACAAACAAAGCGTCAGAAAGTGACTTAGCAGTATTGGATCTTTTAATTCGTTCAAAGCCTAATGCCAAAATACAAACTATACAAGCTTATACTATGTAGTATAAAAACAAAACACTAGACTGGTTGGATAAAAAGACTTAAGATGAATGTGATTCATTGCTAAAAAAAGCTTCAACAAACTTTAAAAATGAAAGATAAATACAAACAACGGCATTTAGAATTAAAGTTTGAAATGAGTGAAAGATTGTCTGAAAAGCATAAAGCTAAAAAAGCAGTTAAAAATGAAGCCTTCTTAAAAAAAAGCTAAATCGGTTATTGAGTTGGTAAATTTGGGGACGAAGGTGTGGTTGACCTCAAAAGAGGCAGATTATGAATATGTTTTGTTAGTTGACACATTTAAAACCGAAAAAAGTATTAAGAGAACAGTTGGATTTTTATAGGTATGTAATGGAAGTTAAATGTGAACCTAAATATTTTTACAAAACTAAAATGCTTGGTAGCAAGCGAATAGACTTGACAAACTGTAAGTTGTTCAGTAATTTACAATCAGTTATTAGAACAAGGACTTTTTCAGAGCCCATCAAGAGAAGAGTTATTCTTATTGAAAAAAAAGAACGAGATATTTTGATTGCAAAACAGAAAGAAGAGTTGAGTGAAAAATTAAAGCATGCAAGACTGTCTCAATTAGCAAATCAACAAAAAATAAACAATTTTCCTATTATTCTAAATGATGTTAATTTTCTTGTTGGGAAATTTATTCAACATAAAATAGTGAAAGTCGACATTAAAAAATACTGTTGGTGTACACGTGAAGTTCTTCGAGTAAACAACTTAACTCCTAACTTAAAATAAACTTTATTTGATGTGGTCTATGAGACTGCAGAAAATAAAGTATAAACTTTTCCATTGCTTGTTGACCATGAAAAATGAAAGGTTATAGCTCTGTACAAAGCTGTAACCTATAATGATATAAGATATATAAGCTAAAATGATATATATAACTAGTATTTATTTCAAATAAATTGCAAATTAAGCTTTTCACAGTTGTGAAAAGCCTATTTTACAATTTATTTGAAATAAATACTACTTATATATATCATTAGTAATACTATATTATAAATATATTAAATATATTATAAATTATATATAACATTATTATAAATTAGTCGTATATATTAATCTAAAATATTTATATCTTTATCGTTTATAGTTATTATAACGTATTGTGTATTGTTATTATATATATTATTTGTATTATTATAGTAGAAATATATTATAAATTATATATTACTATAAATTACTAGTATATATTAATCCATAATATTTGTCTAAATTGTTTATAGTTATTATAATGTATCATATATAGTTATTATATATATATTATTATTAATATCATATTAGAAATATATTGTAAATTACATAATATTGTTATAAATTATTAGTGTATAATAATCTATAATATTTATATATATATATCGTTTACAGTTATTATAACGTATCATATATAGTTATTATATATATTATTAGTAATATGTTAGAAATATATAAAATATATTATAAATTATAGTAAAAATATATTAATATTATTATTATAAATTAGTCTTATAAATTAATCTATAATATTTATGATATATATATATATATATATCAATTTATATTTCTCTCTATCTATATCTATATATTATATATAGATAAAGAGAGAAATATAAATTAATATATATATATATATATATATATATATATATATATATATATATATATATATATATATATATATATATATATATATATATATATATATATTTAGCATATATATGTTATTAGTCCTAGTTTTCAAGTAAAGTTTGGCATTGATACTAACATTTTAGACCTCATTTTGACTGACAATAGCAACAGAGTTTATTTTCTTGAACATTTTCCACCGTTAAGTGGTATCGATCATGGTCATCATATTTTGAAATTTCGATTTGGTTATGAAAATAAACCTAATTTATTAATATCACTACAAACGAGGAAGAAAAAATTTTTGTGGAAAAATGGAAACTATAAAGCGTTAGATTTGTATTTTAATAACATAAACTGGATAAATGAATTTGAAGGACTAAGTGTTAATGAATGTTACG